ATCCAACAAGTATTTGCTGAATATTTACTCAGCTAATGTAAGATGTTGAGAGTAATCATTACATTTAACCCAGGAAGCTGCAACTTTAAAAAATCTCTCAGTAAGCTAAGACATATTACCAAAGTGACAGAACAAGCGGGTACTTGTAGAAGCCCCCAGAGATAGTCCAAATTACACAAACCCTAGGCACAGACTTTGTTGAAATAGCTTCCTAGAGTTCTGATTGACTAGCTGAGATGAAATAACATCTTGAATCTTAGAAAATCTTAAAGACAAGAGATACCCATCCCGTGGAAGAAAATATTGCTAGTACCTTTTCACTGTACTGTTTACTTTCCAAATTGCTTTTGTTAATATAGGACCTTGCAGTCCCATATGGATTTTAGAATCAGCTGCTTAGTTTCTACAAAGAAGCTATGTGGAATTCTAATGGGGATTTCATTGAATCTGTAATTAATTTAGTGAACCATAAACATCTTTAAAAATATTATCTTCTGATTCATGAATGTTTTAGTTAGGTTCCCCATTGATAAGACACAATTCCTGACACCCACACCATAAAGGAGAAAAGGATTAATTTGGTTCATGGTTTCAGGGGCTGCAGTCCATAATCAGCTGACTCTAGGTAGGAACATCATAGTGGAAGGATGTCATGAAGTAAAAATGCTTAGTTCAAATTGGCCTGAAAGCACATCAGGGGAAGAGGAAGGGTCAAGGAACAGACATAGACCCCAATGCCATGCCTCTATGACCTACCCAAATACACCCAGCCATGTGCTTTATTAATCCCCTGGGCAGATTCCTAGGCCAGTCAGGTTGACAGTCCATTTCAGCCATCACACTGAGCATGGACTTTTTTTCTATATTTATTTAGATTTAAACTTTCTCTAAAACATTTTGTAGTTTTCACAGTAGAAGTTCTGTATTTCTTTTGTTAAATTAATACCCCTGTACCTTCTTTTTGATACTATTATAAGTGGAATTGCTTTCCTAATTTCATTTTCAAATTGTATTTTGCAAGTATATGGAAATAAAATTGATTTTTATTTAAAAAAATGAACTGATTCATTATTCAATTTTGCTTGCTAGCTTTTTGATGTAGTCTTGATTCTTAACTGGGACATGTCCCATAATAAGCAGTCCTTCCAAGTTTTAACATCTGAAAATATGATACACTTTACTGCTATATTATAATTAAGGAGGCTACTAAAATAAGACCAAGGGCAAATATGAAACCTCCTTCCTAGCTCTGGTTACTCTGAGCTGTGGTTGCTCAGTCCTTTCAGTGTTCCATCCTGCAGGTCTCAGTTTCAGGAGAGCAAATGTTTATTTGGTATTTGACATAGAATAAACTGTCTCATTGTTGTGCAATCAGCTCTCTCCTTTTGGATGGTGGAGTAGCTTCAGGCCAAGATAGCCATCAGCCTGGGAGGAGCTTTCACAAAAATATTTTCAAATATTTAGGTTTACTGCAAAGGATTAAAGAATATATAAATATACAAATGTGCATTCTGTAATTCCCTCTTCCTCAAAACAAACTGTTACTCGTTTCCTTTAAAAGCACAGGATTTGAGAAAGATTGGACATTCTCTTTGTTTCCTCACTTTACTTGGAATGTCTGATGGGAAGCATGTGCCATGCCAGATGAATGAGCACAAAGAGGCATCAGCTCAAAATTGTCTGAGGACAGAGCCAAGTAAGATCCACGGTGCTCTAGTGAAGGCTTGCTGGGATGACACAACACACTTCCTCTGACCTGGATGGGAGCTGGGCAGATATGAGTCCTTCCTGAGGAGTATGTGGAGAACAGAAAACAGAAATATGTGGGGATAGGTCTGAGGACAACATCTGCCTCAGCTCCAGTCCCTCAGCCAGGTACTAGCTGTGTGACTGTGGACGACTTACACCACTTCGACAAGGCTATGCTGTCAGGTGGGGTTGAGAGTTCTTGGAGAGAGGAGTTTTGGGGCACAAAAAGAGATGATTTGACCTTGGTGGGTGTCTGTCTATCTGTCCAAATCTCGAGTTATGAACACAGTTATAAATATGGACTGCTTTGTTCACCCCGAATCTCTACAGTCCAGTTGAGAGCAGGAGTTTTTACTGTTAGTGTGTGTCAAAATTTTCACTGACAAAGACAGGTTGACAAAATGAGGACCAGTTAGTATACACACCTTGCGGCTGACTGGCTCATACACACATACACACAGGCACAGGCACACACAAACACACTCACCCACCTGAGTAAATTCCATGTCTGTTTTATATCTTAATTCACATATCACTCTCTGAAGCTTTTCCTGGCCTCTAGGCTAGATTAGATATTGTATCTCTGTGCTCTCATAATACCTTCTGTTTCCCTTCATTCACTTAGGGTTTGTAATTACATGAATGTGAGATGGTTTCATTAATGCTTGTTTTTTAGTTACCAGTCATCCCAGTTTCACTGGGGCTTGTGGGTTTTCAGGACACAAGACTTTCATTGCTGGAACTGACACACTACTGGCAAACCCAAGTGGCCACCTTGATTCTCCTTCCTCTGGGGCTAGTGTGCTCTGAGAGTGCAAGACTGTGCCCTTTTCTGTGTATCTCCAGTGCCTGGCAGGCATTTGGATCATGGTAGGAGCTCAGGGAACATCTACTGAACCAGTAAAGGAAAGAATGAATATGCTCAACTACTTTTATTTTGGAGGCTCTTCCCATTGAGAGGTGGATGTCTCTCCCAACCTCTTAAATTTGAGAAGCTTGTGAGGTGTTTTCTAAGGAAGTGACCCAGTCCAGTGTCCTAGGCATAGTCCTGCCCAGAGGCTTCCTATTTCTATTTGGAGGCCTATTTCTCTGAGATTGTTCTTATTTGATATGTTAAATGCCTGTCCCTTTTTAAAAAATTGTCCTTATTTGACAAAATTAAAAATGGACATTTTATATTGTTTCCTTGCTTTTCCAAATTCCCTTCCCATGTGGAGGTTGGAAATCCTACAGAATTGAAGAATCACTAGTTTAGTGAAAAAGAAACCAATAAACTGGCATCAAAGCAAATAAAGATCTGTCTCCATGCTAGACCATAAAGTTCATGAAAGCAAAAATTATGGGTATTTAGTTCTTCTCTATTTCTAGAGCCTAGCATAGTAACAAGCATTTATAGTAAGACCTGAATAAATATTTGTTGCATAAATAAATGGATTCTCTGCTTAGCCTAAAGACCTGGTAGAGTAGACCTTGTGTGCCTGACTCTCATTACCTCCCTATCCTCCAGATAAACATTTCCACACCCATAAATTTAACTTTAGCAGCCATACCTGTTTAGTGAAGGAAAAGCAGGTACCACTGTGAAGGAAAGAATGCATGGCCCACCACCACCTGTCCTGGTTTATCTCTTGCATCCTCACTTCACTTTAACAGGGCACTGTGGTCTGCTACAGCAACATTGCAGTATCTCAAGTGCTAAGAGAACCTCTCCCATGAGGTTTTGTTCAGGAATGCCTGATCCACTTGTAGCGTACTCTCAAGACTAAGCCTTCCTCCCTTTCTCTAAGAAGCCACCTCTGTATCATTCCCCTGTGAAATGTAAAATCAGAACAAATTATGAGAAAGTTTATTGTCATTAAAAAGTACAGGTTGTGATCAGCAGGACTTCAGCACAAGTGGTGAGAGGCTGACCTTTAGCAGTTGAGTTACCCCACAATTTATAAAGCATAAAGGAGAAAGCATTCCAGCCTTTTTCCTGATTTCCTGATTGACTGTGCATGGTTTTAGGGGTTGGGGCTGGAGGGGGCAGAACTGTGTAAACTCATTGCCTGTAGCTACCAGTTTAATTTCGCTGAGTCATGCTGACAAGGATGTGACGCTTACATTTTAATTTTATTAAATCATTCTGATGAAAACATAAAGCTTACATTTTGTGCTTGTTTATTATGGGAGCTAGCATTTCAGGAAAATTAAGATGACTTAAGATTTGGCTACTTAGTTATGAATAGTTTGGCCCTGGACTACTTATCTAAGCTGTAGCCTTCTTTGTACTTTTCTTTAACACACTTCTCAACCCCAGATCCCCCTTCAAATTCTTTATTTTGTCTTTATCATCCAGTGGATCAAACCATAGTCTGTATACATGTGTATAGTTCTTCCCTGCTTTAGAGCTTCTTTTTCTTTCCTTTTTTTTTTTTTCTTGAAAGGAAAATTCTGTCTGATTCATTTTTGTGTTCCCATCCACAAAGAGTAAGCTATTAACTGGCTAGGAAATGTTTTTAAAAAGAAAGAAACATATCGGTTATCTATTGCCACAAAAATGCTAGGTAAAACACAGTAAGTCTTAGTCACACGTTACAGTAGACATGTATTTTTGCTCACAAGCCTGTTGGCTGGGTGATTATGATACCCTGGGACAGTCAGTTGTTGCCCAGCAGGGTGGACTTGCTGGTCTTGCCTGGGCTCGCTCCTGTATCTGGTACATCATCCTAGATCACTGGGCTAATCACACTTCTTATTCAAGGCATAACTTAGGGCCATGGCAAGACAAGGAATAGAAGTAGGAAACCTTGGGGCAGGACTATGCCTAGGACACTGGACTGGGTCACTTCTTCCTTAGAAAACACCTCACAAGCTTCTCAAATTTAAGAGGTCGGGAGAGAGATCCACCTCTCGATGGGAACAGCCAAACATCTCATTGTGAACATAGGAGGTTAGAAACTACATACCAATTTTACAATCTCTGCCACGGAGAATTTGCCAGCAAGGAAATGCTTCAACAATTTCTTTCCATAGTGATCACATTTTCTACCTTGACATCTAAATGGTTTCGTCAGAAATGTTTCCAAAGATGCAGCAATGACCTTCTCTGAGAGAGTAATTTTTCCACCATAGGAGATATCAGTAACAAACTGAATTCCCTGGCCATAGAAACATCCCTGAGCACAGAAACATCTCCAGTAGGAGGAGGATAAAGCTTCCTCTAGCCCTGAGGGTCAGTGTTTTCACACACTTTACTTCTTTCTTTCCAGATCAGCAAAGACCCGATTTTTGTACCAGGTGTATGGGGGCCTTATTTCTCAGCCATGGTCCCTGGGTTCTGGCTGAATGAAGGTGGTCAGAGCGTCACTGGAAAATTGGTAAGTTGACACTGTATCCATAGGGTTGTGAATATTCTTACATGTGGACTAGCTCATTCTGTCACATTGCCCTGCACCCAGGATCTAGAAGATTTGTAGATTCCTGAGTGAGAGTTTATGTTCTCTCAGTGCACAGCCTGATGTGGTACAGATGCATGTGTGCATGCATGTGTGTATGTATGCTAAAGGAATAGATGCTGCTCCAGGCAGTGGTAGCTCGCTGTCCCTTCTCACCTGATCTTTCTTTCTCCATACCAGTCTATTTTTCTCATGGAAGTGAAAATAACATTTTACTGTGTAAAATAACAATGTTACTTCCCAACCCAGATCCTTCAGTGGTTCCTAGTAGCCTGTAAGACATGGTTCCTGTCATTCCACCTTGTGGAGTTCTTACCACCTTAATGCCTTTACTAGTCCTTCACAACGTCACAACGCAACTCCAACTCTTATCACTTTTATTCTCATTGGTTTACTAATCTGCTTTTCTAAAATGCCATAAGCTCCTGAAAGACAAGGGTCTTATCATACTTGTCTCTATACCCAGCTTAGTACCTAGCCTCCAGAAAGTACTTAATAGAACTTCATTGACTTATTGGAGTTGTTTAGTAGAGGTGACAGATGATCCATGAAAGTGAGGTGAATAGTGTAAGTAGATACCAAACTAGGTTAGGAAACTGTTTGTGAGAGAGAAGGCATTTGTATTGAGCCATAAAAGATAAAGAGAGGAACCAGGCAAACAAAGGTGTGGGCAGGCTCCTAGGCAGGGGAACACAAATAAGACATAAAAGTGAAAAGTAACAAGGTGTATTTGAGGGAAAGTCCCTCAAATAGTCCAAAATTTCAGTTGTGTCATGAACAATAAAAGAGAACAGGGGTATGATTAAACCATTGGCATGTCCCATGATAGACAGAAATGTAAAAGCTAGCATGAACAGTGACAACGTCTGAGTCAGGAGCAAAGCAGACTTTTCAGTGAGGTCCAAAGATGCCAAGCAAAGAGACAGTAGCAAGGCTTGCTCTTCCAGCACTCCCAATGCCTAGGCAGTGGGATCAGGAGTTCAAGGCCAGCTTGGGCAACATACTGAGAACATGTCTCAAAACAAACCAAACCAAAGACTGAGTAAGAATAATGATGATGATGATATTAATAACAATAACTACAGCTTATAGAGTACTTTTTCTGTGTGCACGATTTATGTTTATAATCTTGTTAAATCTTGAATGCTGTTCCTAAGAATCACAATACCCCATGTTATTTTCAAGGCATGATTGACAGCCTCAATTTCAGAAACTTTTCATACTCAGATAGTATTATATCATTTAATCCTCTCAAAACTCCTGTGAGATAAAGTTATCTCTATTTTTTAAAAATTTGTACATCTCTAATAGTACAAATTAAAAGTAGTATATACTACTTTTTCGGTTTTTATATTGTTATTAGTACAGGTGTGCAGTACATAATGATTACCTTCTTTATGGGGAGTTAGTACTTGGACATAACATATCTTCATTCCTTTTTCATCTCCCTCCACTCCCTCCTCACTCTCTTGACTCACTTTGCTTTTGCTAAAGATATCTAAGTGATTCTCTCTCAATCTCTGTCTCTTTCCACTTCTTGTACCACTACTACTACTACTACTACTCCCCCTTCTTCTTCTCCTTCTTCTTTTTATTTCTTTCTCTCTTTTCCTTCTTCCTCCATCTCCTTTTTCCTCTTCTGTCTCCTCTTCTCTTTCTTTCCTGCTATCTTTTATTTTGCTCTTTATTTATATTTTACATCTGGCCTTGGGATACTTAAGCCTATATGGCTGATTTATTTCACTTAACATTGTAATCTCAAAGTGCATACATTTTCCTACAGATGACTCAGGTTACCTGTATTTTACCTGTAGGCATCTGAAGCTCAGGGTAGCCAGCATGGCATGGAGGGGTTCCTAGGCCATCATTAGCTCTTCATGTGGCTCTATTGCCACTCACCTTTCCTTACCATGGGCTGAGTGTATAAATCCAGGCCGCTGACTTTAGGATGCATTGTCCTTCTGTAGAACCCTGTTACCTCTTTTTGTTATTTGTACACACATCTTCTCTAATAAGCCATATGAAAAGGTGGCTTCTCCAGCAGCAGCAGGCTTATCCTCAGGACATGGCATAAACACCACCAATAGCAATGAAGGAGGAAAGGAAATAGAAGAGGAGAGAAAGAGGAAATAAAGAAAAAAGAAAAGGGAAAAAGCAAGAAAAAGTAATGAAAAGAATATATAAACTGTAGGTTTGAAGAAAAAGATTATTTTGTCTCACTTTTCCTTTTAAATGCAAATCTATTATAAGCAAGTCCTTCATTTCAACTATGTGAATGGATCAGTTCTTTTAAAAATCTTCATGTGGGTATCTTCAGGAATGGAAAAAAGGGACAGTATGTTTTTTGGGTCTGGGGCCCTTGTAATTTCATTTGATCAAGAATTAGACTCATTTTCACTCAGTTCACATCAGTTCATTTTGCTGATGTTGATTTCTTGTTTGAAACGTGCACACTGCCTTCCTGTAGTGTGATTGATTTTAGTCATACCATCATGTACCCATCAAGGATTATCTTGTACTTGCCAGTTCTCCAGAATAATTGTCAAAAAACATTGCTTTTTGCCACATTTTCTTCAGCCTCGTGCTTCATAGCATGCAGATTCTGAAGCCTGTTTCCAGCTATACCTTGACCGTCCTCCCTCTAACCACTCCTTTGTCTTTTTATTGGGAAGGACTTTAGTAAGGGAGGCTAACACAAGCTCTAATCCACCTCTGTGAGGGCATTAGCTTTTTGGATAATTAGGCTTAGATACTGAGTCACCTTCAAATTATTTGGATCCTGAATTTGATCTTAGTATCATAATCACAGGGTCAAAGTGCAAATTGATGTGTTCTCCAGAAATTTTAGGATTTGCGCATTGTATCTACCTGCCTCCTTCCTCTTTTCAAGCTGGGCTGGCCACAGAAAGCCAACTGTGAGAGTCGGCTTGGTGTGAGTGGGTTATGGATAGCTTGCAGTGCTCACAGTGCTGTGCAGGTTGTAGAGATGATGACTTCACCTACTCATTCATTGGCTCATTCCATCGTGTTACAGGGGTTTCCTGATCAATTACACTGGGCCAGGCAAAAATTAGATGACTCCAGTAGTTCATCATCAAATAGGAAAGTTGGATACCGAACTAATAATTATGATATTGTAGCACATAGAAATAGGTTTTGCTCTCCCTGCAGCTTACTGGAAAGGTGGGAGTGAACATCAAACAATTGTAATGTGCCAAGTACTTTTAACTCTATTAAGACCTTTTATCTTACCTAATCATCATAGCATGAGATGTAATCACTATTGTTACGTCAGTTTTAGTAGTGAAGAGATAATCTGAGAATGGTGAAGTATCTTTATCAAGGACTTCAGTTAGTTACAAGTGAGGGAACTACAATTCCTCCCTATCTGCCACTGGAGGCCCCTGGTCAGTCCAGAACCAGGCCTGACTCTTAAACAGTGCCATTTTTGAGTTTTACATACAATTCTCTCATAGATTTGAGAAGCAACTGGTGTCAGTCAGTTTGTTATTCTTGTCAAGTGTCTTGAAGCACATACAGCTGGCAGGCTTTGTAGGACCACAAGACAAATGTGTGTGTGTCTTAGGGTAGATGAGATCTACTGTAGACTTGGGTGTGTCCACAGCACCCATGCTAATTAGTTGGAATGACTTCACAGATACACAGACCAACACTGCTGAAACACATGCCTCCTGGTTCCCTCTTCCTGCCCTGTCTTTCCCTATATTTTTTATGTACTCACCTGGCTTTCTCTATAGCTTCCTAACTATCTTCTTGCCTCCCATCTTTCCCCCATAGTCCTCTTCTTGCCTTGCAGCTATAACAGTCTAAGACACAGATGTGGTCCTTTCACTGCTGCTGGCTTTTTAGTTGTCTATAGAATGCTGTCTAAACTCTTTCGGAGTAAATTTATTTACACATCCAGTAATTATTGAGCATTTCCTATGTTCACAGGTACTGTTCAGGGTAGAAAAATGGCAGAAAATAAAACAGCTTCTGTCCCTCCCATCCCCCGCAAAATGTACCCCCAAGCTTATGTTCTACAGGAGGGGACAGGTAAACGTGTTCATTTTTAGCATGCTTAAGCCCAGATAGGCAGTTTTATTTATTTATTTTTTACTTTTATCACTACATGTTTGCGGTATATAAGGATTACATTTACTGTAGGAAATTGGAAAATGTACATAACACATTTCAGTTTTTTTCCTCTTCCTTTGATCCCCCCTTTTATTTGGTCAGTATCAGATTCATTTATTTATCTTATAAGACCTTATAAAGTTATTTATCATATATACAGGTTAAAAACCAGACAGGCCAAAAAACATATAAAATATGTATATTTGTATTGTAAAGGTACACGTTTAGATATATTGTGTATGATTGGTTGCAATAACTTTTTTCTCTTTTTTCCTATTATCTTTTATTTCATACTTTATTTATGTATTAAGTATTTCATATCAGAAACCATATGCTAAGCTTTTGTGTCTGATTTACTTCATTCAACATTATAGTCTCATGCTCATCCATTTTTCTATAAATGACTTCAGTTAATCTTTCTGTACAACATAGTAGTATCCATTTTATATAGATACCACATTTTCTTTATCCATTTATCCATAAGGATACAACTCATTCATGTGAAATTTGAGCAAGGAATAAGTAAAGGAAGGGATTTAATCATTTGAAAGCTGAGGAGAAGAATGCCAGGCCTAGGGAACAACCTGTGCAAAGGTTCTGAGAGGTTTCTGGCTTGGGGTATTACAGGCCACGCTGGTGGAGCAGAGCAACAGCTGTAGGGGATTAATTCCAAGAGGTGAGTGGACCATCTCAGTGGCCATTATAGGAGTTTTAGCTTTCATGCTCAATGAATGGAAGCTACTGAGTGACAGTGAACAGAGAAGTGATGTGCTGGGACTTAGGCT